TCCAGATCAATGCAGAATACCCTCACCGGAGTGCGCTTCACTTCAGAACGGGGTATGAAAAATTGGTTCGATTCTTTCTTGACCTCCAAGCCGGAGAAGTTCTTTTGGGATGGGATCAACAAATTATTATTATCATGTCAGTCAATAAACAAATTATAAAACAGCGAAGTATCCACGAGCTTGTGTAAAATCTGCGTTAGTTATGAATCAAAGCCATCACAAGCTTTTGCTTTGGTATGTATTTTGGGCCAATGTACATATGTATATGTATTTATTAGATTATATATTTTCAGCTTTAAAACCATTAAATTAAAAGCAAAAACATTTATTACTTTGTCTGTCTCCTACGCGTTTCGCTTCCATTCGTATCTTCTACCGGGAGTCTCATTTATTTAAAAACAAAAAAAAATGCCAGCGCATGTTTTGTTTTCATTTTGAGTTTTTACATTATTGTTCGCGCCTTTTATTTTCTTTATTGTTGCTGTTATAAATCTCTTTATTAATGCGTCAGGATATCCATTTTCGTATGGTATGTTTCTAAACCATTTCATGTTCTCGTTTCTGAATTTCTGTTTCGCTGAGTTTCCGAAATATTTTTTCGATTAGGTTCATGGCAGTGTTTTTCTTTTGATTCCATGAATGATTTGTGAAAGTTTATCATCCTAGATGGGAACACAACTGCCGAAAAGCAGTTAAGTTTCATCTGCTGGTTTTCCCAGTGAATTTCAACGTTCTTACAGGGATTCTGAAAGTTTCCGGAAATGGTTTTTTTTCGATATACGCAGTTTGGTTCATCATGAATTCGTTCCAACGGGATAAACGTCCAATAAGGTGAATTACTTGAGCTTTTTGAGGCGTTTGTCGGGACTTCGAGCCAACAATTTCTGGATACTTTCATGACGATAATGCGCCATCGCACCGAGTTGTATTTTAAGATGAAAAAACTCGTTGAATACCATCGATCAATGACCGTATCCACTAAATTTGGCCCCGTGCGACTTTTTTTTTGTTTCCAAAACTCAAGTTAATAATCCGCGGAAACTGTAAGGTTCGAACTTTATAATAAATATTGCAAAGTGTGCAATCCTGTATATATGCATGTCCATATCTATATCTTTTATATTATGCGGTTACAGACAACCGTTAGCCGAACACAGTACAGCCAAGTATAAATATCGTTGAATCTAATTTTGCATACAAAAATAACAATATGTGTATTTTACGCGCTGCGCTGCTGCTCTGCTCTGCGTTACGCCATCAGATAAAAATGCCAAACGACAGAAATTGAATATCCAATTTACGACACCCACAAGTCATACAACACAATCACCCACTCACACACACAGCCATACACGCGCACACATGCAACCGAACCCCAATGCATACGAGTGAATTGTGAATGTGAATTGGGCGTATTTCAGTTTTGTATTTGAAAATCGTACCAACCAAATTGAAAAGGCTTAAATACATACGTGTACTATATGCATATAGTGAAAAAATGAAAAATGTCAGATTTGCAAAGTTAGCTTAGGGCATAAATGTCCACCCCACCATCTGATTCACTATTTTGATTGCTTAGCAGTTAGTTTCGCGGTCGGCGATTCGACATCGCTGTGCTCTGTCTCAGTGTATGTACATATGTTGTGTGCTGTCAGCCGCACAATTTGCGATAGGCTTTTGTCATAAGCTGGCGCGCGAGCGATATACTGTTGCCATTGTACTAAACGAGCGCGTCGGTTTCCAGATGCTCAGCTCCACTCAGCGCTTGGCGTTGTTGTTAGTGTGCGAATATCATATTTTCAAATCGCACACCGCAATTTCATTTTTTTTTGTTTTTTTTTTTTTTTAAGTTAGTGTGTGTGTGTGTTTGTGTTTGAGGGTGTGGCGTGAAGAGAAGTGGCAGTTCAAGTTGCGTTGGTGAAATTTTCGCGTAGCTGGAGGAGGAAAATAGTGCCGGAAAGTTGAGGTTAAGCGTGTAGCGGAAGTATCATTCAGCGATTTTTGGATAATAATTCAAGTACCGTTATAAAGGGTGAGTTTTTAGCTGTCATCTTTATGGCAACTGGCTGATGTACGTTTCGTGTTTGGTATCACTCACAGAAAAATCACAGTTTGGTGCTGTTTATGGGCTGGTGGCATTATTGGATCGTACTTCTTTAAAGATGATGGTGAGCGCTACCGTGAGATGATATCAAACTTTTTGTTTTGCATGAGCTTGACTTGCATAGCATGTGCTTTCAACAAGACAGTACCACATGCCACACCGAACGCGTAACAATGGACTTACTTCAAGGAAAGCTCGTTGAACCCTTTACTTCACGTTCGGGACCGGTCGCCTAGATCGTACGATTTAACGCCTTTAGACTATTTTTTGTGGGGCTATATTAAATCTAATGTCTCTACAACAGACAAATCCGTTTCAATTGACGCGTTGGAGAACAATATTGGAGCATTTATTCGTGATGTACCGGCCGAAATGTTGGAAAGAGTATGCCGAAATCGGACTGAGCGGATGAACCATTTGCGACGCAGTCACGGTCAACATTTGCATGAAATAATCTTCAAATATTAAATTATATGGACCGTACTATCAACTCAAATAAAGATTTCATGAGTTTTTCTGAATTTTATGTTGTTGTTTTTTTTGAAAAACTTTCCAATAGCTCTTAAAAAATCACCCTTTATTTAGTATTTTTCGGCGAAAAGTTTTCATATTTTTGCGCTAAATGAATGAGTGGCTCACAATGATTCGAAATTGTATGCTTTCAACCAGTGAATATTTTGGGGAATTATTTTTATTGCTTTATAATTGCTATTGCGAAGATTAAAATTTAAATTTTAGCGAGAAAGAATGATTAGCAAAAGCTCGTATGTGAGAGATTTAGATTAATCCACTTAATATTTTCGATAAATGAAGCGATAACTAAAAGTTTTTTGTGGAATTCAGTTGAGCTCAAAGGAAATATTTGTTTAAAAAATTATAAAGCAGTAGTCGAGTGGTTAGCAGTGCGTACTAACATTGCAACATTAATATCGAAAATTATTTGAAATAAAAAATTCAATAAATTTTTCTAATTGCGGTCGACCTTCGGCAAAAAATGTCGAAATCTCCTAGTGTAGTGCAGAAATGAAATCCAAAAAAACTCTTCATAAAAATCCATTAGAATAAACTGTAAGTCTCTTCCTTTATTGGAAAAAGCTCAGAACAACAAACTTGGAGTAGAGTTTTCCACTAAAAGGTATTGTTTTGAAAGCTATCAATTCAACTTTAAAGCTGCAATTTTTTTTACATTTGACAAGTAAAAACTACGCTACAAAAATTTCGTTAAAAAAACATTTTGACTGATGAGACCATTTACACCTCGAAGAATACGTCTATAAGCAAAACTGTCGCATCTGTGGCTTAGATAATAGAAAATTTATTGTTGTAAATCCTCTTCCTCCTCAACGTGTAAATAATTGGTGAGTTTTATGGTTCGGTGGGTTCATTGGACTTTACTTTTTTCGAAAACGAGGCTGGAGCAACAATTACGGGGAATGGATTGCGTTATTGAGAGATGATTAATGGTTATTTATGGCCTGAATCGGATGGTTTCGTACTGGACAAGGTTAACTTTCAACAAGACAACACTAGTGCCACACAAGCAACGAAACCGTCGATCTTTTTAGGGATAATTTCACGGACTGTGTTATCTCTCGAAGAAGTGGTTACAATTGCCCACCGAGATCTTGTGATTGAAAACTTTGTGACTTTTGCCTTTAGGACCACGTGAAAGATAGGGTCTACGCTAGCAGGCTAACATCAATTCAAGACCTGAAAGATGGAATTCGTGAAACTATTGAGGGCATACAACAGCCACTTCTCGATTTGGCGATATCCATTTGGCTGATTTAGTTTTTCATTTTTATTGGTTTACCTTTCTCTTTATATTGAAATAAACATCCCTTTATTTTTCTTATAAAAATGTCATTTTTCTTTGAATATCACTTATTAGAAAACAGTGTATATATAATAATATCGCGTAGGTCATTTCTCCTTTCTCTTGCTTCGCGAACTCTCGCAGTTCTTCCATCCTTACGGATATCATCACTGCACCTGCGTAGATGTGCTCTCTTTGAGCGATGAGCTTTGTCAATGTTCCTGAATATCTTGTCATTCCCAATTTTTGGTATCTTTGACACGCGGCACTTGTTACGTTAGATTCTCTTTCCATCCCATTTCAACATCCTCAACTATCGGCGCTCTTTTCGATATAAGAAGGTAAATACATTTTTTTAAATTTTCTAATGAACTTTAATTAATTAATGCTATATCTATTTTTGAGGATGACCTTTCGCCATCTTTCCGGCAACATTATTTTTCCCGCTCATAGAACTTGCAAGCTTTATATGTAAAGAACTCAACGAGTTCGAAAGTTTTACCATTTAATGAGTTCTGCAAAGATCGAAAGAAATGAAAGTCTGACGGTGAAAAGTCAGGGTTATATTGGTGATGCATCAACAGTTCCTAACCAAGCTCTCTGAGTTTTTGGCGAGTGAACAAATATATGTGCAGTCTAGCATCGTCCTATTGGAATATGACACCTTTACGAGTGGCCAATTCAGGCCGCTTCTCGTTGATGGATGTTCTCAATTTGTCCCGTTGTTCACAGTCAACATCCGAATTAATCGTTTGGTTCTTGGAAGTAGCTCAAAATATACCACACCCTACCGATCCCACCAAACTGACAGCATAATCATCTCTTGGTGAATGCCAGCCTTTGAAGTGGTTTTTGGAGTTTCATCCTAATTGGACCATGAGCCTTTTCGATTGACGTTTTGGATATTTCAAATAGGTGGCAACATGTCCTTTCCAAGACAACACCTATATTCGGCTTAAAAGCAATATTTTTTCCTTTATTTTATTATTTTTATTAATTCAAGTTTACATATAGAATACACATTTTACAACCTCATTTTGTTCCCACACGGTTTTTTGCTCTTGAATCTGCGTTAAAGTTTAATTAAATAACAGTTAAATATTTCTTAAAATATTTATTAGATAATGAAATTCTGCAATTTTCTCGCTGGAAACTGTGCGACCACTCTTCAGACCTCTCTCATTTCTGCACAGACTTGTTTCCGTATTTTTAACCTGGCTTGTCTTCCATTTATCTGAACGCCATTTTGCTTATGCCCCACCCTCACACAGCACGCTGTTCATTGTGTGGCCACTCTTTGAGCTCATTGTACAATCTGCTGCCTGGACAGTCGGTGGCCTTTACTTGTCGATGGCCGAGCAAAACATAATTCCGTTGAATATGACCCTTTTGCACGCCGTAATCTATGAGCTCTTGCATTTTTTCCAGCACCGGACCGGGTGGTAAGTCGGCTGGTACACAGGATAGAAAATTAGAAAGAAAAGTAGTATGAAAGAGAAGAAATAAAGTGAAGTGAGTACGTAAAGTGTCAAGAGAAGTGAAAAAAAATTATATATAATTAAGCCTCCTTATCTCTCTCTTTCTCTGAGCGCAGCTTCTGATATTTGGATTTATTGAAATTTTATTAAAATAAAAATAACTCAATCAAAATTTCGCTTAATGCACAAAAGAAACTTTTGCACGCGTTGAGCACTGTAAATCCCAGCTACCAATGAATAATTTCATAAATCATGTACACTCACGCACAACTGACGCTCACGCCTTTACCTTGAGCTTTCCCTCGCTTTGCATGCATACATACAATAAATAGCTTAACTACTAAAGACATTTCTGTCTCGCCCATTTTTCCCGCTTTCTAATCTCTACCAACCATTTAACCACTCACCTGTCCAATCACCGATCACTGCAATGCCCACACTCCGCGCATTGTAGCCGACCGCATGGGCGCCTACAACGCCAAAGCCGCGCCCTTCATAAATCTCAGCGCGCTCCTCACTGCCACCGATTAGGAAATTATAACCAATGTCATCCCAGCCGCGCTGCTGTTGATGATTGTGCTGGACGGCGCGTATGGTGGCTGAGCAAGCGTTGGTGCTTTGTCGGCAGGCAGCTGCTGGTGTAGCGGTATGATGAATGATCACATGTGAAACACCGCCAACGGCGCCAGTTATACGCGTGGGTGTGTGTATGGCAGGTGCTGCCTGCCAGGCGCTGCGTGACGTCCATTTCAAATTTGATTTTGCTTTGCTACTGCTGTGTTCGTTTGTTGTTGTTGTTGTTTCAGTGCCGCTGCGATTCAGCCAGTTTGATAGTGGCTTTGTGTCGGCGTTTGTGGTTGGTGCTGCAATAAATGACAGGAAAAGATTATTTACTCCAAGTCAAAACAGATGTTTGTGTGTGTGTGTGTGTGTGTGAAAAATTTTTAAGTGGACTCAGGCGGGTAGAAAGATTAATCATAGTGGTTTTAAATGATTTCTGACAAGCTGCGCAAACCGCTGGTGTAAGGATTTGGGAAACTGCGTATAAAAGGTGCTCGGTGACAGTTGGATGATGGGCTAAAGTTCATATGCGTGGGGTTTTCCAATAAGAGGGTTTTTTAATTTAAAAAAAAAAAAAAAATTAATAATAGTGCATGAAATGATCGGATGTTCATTTCAATGTTAGGAGCAAGATTTGCCCTTAATAATGGAAAACTTCAGCTTCAAAAGTGACATATACCAGAATAGCAGGCTATTCAAACTAACACTTGTTATTGTAACACCCTTTACATGAAATGAATATATCCATAAACTTCGCCGCAATGAGTAAGTGGTTAGTAGTTCGTGCTACCAATGCTATGAATTCGAACTCTTCTCAAATTCAAATTTATAAAAAAAAAAAAAAAAATACAATTAAATTAAGAATTTTGGAACTTCCAACTCAACTCGGTTGAGAATGTCAACCCCTTCGAGTGCACTTTTGGCACGAAATCAAAGCTCCCCATAGAAATAAATCAGCCATTCAGAGGAGTCAAGCTAGTATAAACTATAAACGGTATATTTCTCGGCTTACTGAACGCACAATACAAATTAGGCGTCCGAAAACCGCTGAAGCCCAGGTGTCTAAGCTAAAAACTTCACATTCATTTTTCAACGAAGAATAGCCCATAAATCCACAAACAGTCGATTCTACGCAACCAAGTTTTTGTTCACTAATTTTCGTAGTAATCATCTTGCAGTTAGCCAAGCTACCACATATCATTTCCCGCAAAACGTATGTACGTATGTGTATCATAGCACATCCACCACCACAAATCATTCCATCGCATGCCCTTAAGTTATCTGTTACCTCCACGGACTTATCTATGTTTGTTGATAAGGGTGGATGTAAAAAAAAAAATTCAATTATACCGCTCCACCATGAAATAAACCTAAAAATCGCAAACTTTTGGCAAAGATTGATGAATGCGTTCTGACAGCCGGTGAAATTGTATGTAAAATTTGTTTTTGAAATGTAAATTGATGCGGGCAAAGAACAGACGCTATCATCGTTATTGAGTTGGTGAATGGGTGAATGAGATGAATCCGCACAGAAAGCGCCCAATCAGTGGCCCGCCAAACCATAAAAACAAAAACAACCGAAAATGGTTTAGCTGGAATTTTAAATGAACGTCTTTCGCCTCGGGCTTTTGTCATATAAGATGTGTGGCAGGTAGTCCTTATTGAATAGTGAACTGGCATTGATAAGCATTGGTGGAATTTAGATATACATTTCCACGAAATAATACGCAGTTGTGTCTAAATTTCATCAAGGCATAGAAAAACCAGGCACAGCTTTACGTGCTGTGTTCTGAAAATAACGATAAGTTCGAATTTTCCTTGATCGAATCCAATAAGTTCATATATATGGAATGTTGATCCTCTTTGTAAGAGGTATAAAACTTCCCCGGCGGCTTCTTCTTGTGCCCAAATTCACAGAGACCACTGGAAGGATCGCCTTTAAGTTACTAACCTTTGAGGAAGTAAAACTCGTGCTCTAAAAAATCTCTAGGGCAGACCGAAAAATGTGTATCGAAACTGCATAGATGATTGAAAGCAAAGCAAAAACATGGGACGATGATTTGAGAAAAAATAAGCATCGCTCGTAGACAAATAACCCTATAAATACGCATACTCACATACAGTGAGGAGCAAAAAATAATGCTCTCAAGTGGTTGATTTTTAATTATTTAAAAGGTTTGTCTAGCTAAATTGACTATTAGTACACCCAATTACAGATAAGAAAGTAGTTATAAAAATGGCGGCAGAGTTACTGCAATGCTCTGGCTTAAAGCCTTAATTTCATACAGCGCGAAGTCAGCTGTGGTCGCACTATGTTCAACCTAACCTAACGTAGCCCATATTTTGCACTTCTAAGTTTCCCTTACATGTCAGACCTTGGCTCTATTCATTTCTCTCTTAAAGTAGCTGGAAAATTCCCATTAGATTTCGAGATTATAAAAACTCGCACCCACATTGCTCTGGTAGCCGTCATTGGTCACAAAACCTGGCGATTATGGTGAATGGCAAGTTCCCCCAAACTTTGTGAAATGCTATGCATAGCGTACGAGGGAAAATGGAAAAATAGGCTAATGAACGCTAGCTTTCACTTAAACTTTAAGAGACTGAGCTTCTCCTCTTCACTAAGAAATTTAAGACTTCAGATTTATTCAGTAAATAATAACTACTCTACAACTTGCTGACTAAGTACAGAGACTTCAATTCCTCGAAGTTGCGTTGAAAGTCTTCTGCTCTAACGTAAGGAGAAGCACGCTTGAAACCATCTTTCATAGATTTATCAGGAACACTCAACATATTTATGCTGAGCTATGTGCTGTAGTTTCCTACGCAATTTTCAGTTCAGAGGGAACCAAGGTCCGAGGTTCTACTCAACTTTTTCTGCTTCTATAGCGTGCTAACTTTGCCGTTCTTCTTTAGGCGAAGGAGTGCACATATCCTACATTTCGCCAAGCTCTGACCATCCTTCGTTGGCTTAGTTATGTGAAGTAACTTCCAATCAGTGCCAGCAGCAGTTATAGAGTACGGGATTCATACTTCATTTAGCACCCATAGAAAGCTGAGTCGGAAACCTTCACTAGGAAATATAAGACTTCAGACACTCGAGATAAAAAAGGAACTGCTTAATTTTCCCTTAATGCACCGTCGACTGTAGGGTGGTTATCCCATGGAAATATAGGAGTATTTAGGTATTGAAGTAGATGTTGATTTATATATGCCATCCACTTTCATATGGATGGACCAGAACTAAACCACAGCGTCGGCAGTGGAATCTACTAAAAGATACTTGAAACCAGCAGGTCATTTCGGTACTCTCGGTGAATGAGCGCCTGGAAATAGTAACAAACCAGGTAACGAGATGGCGGACGAGTTTGCAAGGAAGTCTTGCGTATGCTCGCGCCGTTCTTCTCTTATAAGCATTGAAGATTTTAATTCGAGATAATGGAGTTCAAATTGCTGCTTTTTAACGAGGTCGATATGGGATAAAAGAAGGTAGAGAAGATTTAACTCGAACTATTGACTATGGGTCTTGCCACAGAAGCTTGGCGTACCATCAAACGACTTCTGCAAGAGTTGCAGAGAGAGAAAAAATAAGCCCGAAACTCTTAAGGCATTTCTTTAGCGAATGTCAGGAGCTGACGGATCAACGTACTATGATTGTTGCTTTGTAACCGCTGAAGCGATACTCGGCCGAGCGTCTTGATAGATAACCAACAAATGTAGGAACCTATACTTTATAATAAGCCGCCTATGAACGGCTGATGGCTTTTATTTTGTGAGGAGCTTTTACTTCATGTCAGAAATTCACTTGAAGGGCTTGACATTCCCTGCCAAAAGGCGACTGGTCGGACCATTAATAAAATATATGCTGACATGGCGCTGCCGACAACAAGCCCAAGTGCACAAAGCTTTTTATGGAAAAGGGTGTAACATATAAAAAAAAGGATTTTGGCTTAAAAATTGTCGTTATTTATAAAAAAAAAAAAAACAAAAACAAAAACAAAAATTCCTAGGCACAAATATTTCCTCCTCACTGTACATGCATGTGTACGCGTATTCGGAAGTGTGCATGAAAGCTCTCCATCAAACAAACTTGCCACGTAGGGTTTTGGAGAATTCCATAAATACCTTTGGTCTTTCCGAGTGTATATATGTATGTGTGCTTGTGTGTGTTTTAATGACTTCTCCTCGTCAACATCAAATGGCATTTACAAAAATTTGGAATTTCATTGAGTTGAAAGACTATACCGTTACGTTGAATTAGAATAAAATCGACTCTGAGCTTTCACCTTTTCACTCGAAATACCTGCTTGTGTTGTGTCGTCAAAAAATATCTGCAGGGCAACTAGGAGCAGCAGCGGTTTTAATATTACAAATATGCAGGACATTTTCAAAAGTGCTAAAGGCTTCACTTTCATTTATCACAAATATTTTAGTTTTTTGTATTGTTTTATTTTAAATTTTTGTGTGTTTTTTTTTACTTTATTTTCTACTCAAAATAATTAATTTGCTTTTGTTCACTAAATTCCACTTTTCCTGTGACTCTACTACTGACCACTATGCTGGTGCTTTTCTGGCATTTATAGCTGCTTAACTCAAAGCATTATTGTGTGGCTTCAACACCGTTATATGTACGTATATATGTTTGTGCATGTGCGTGTACTTTGAATGGGTGACATTTGTGCTTTTTCTTTAATTTCAGGGGCTTTCCGTGTATAGTATTTTCCCTACGCCTTCAATGTGTGACAATCAGTGGCTCATCTCTCTTTCAGAAACAACAATATCACAGAAAACCACCTCAGTCGCCCGACCTTAGACCAGTTTGAATATGTACATGAACGCAATTACAAACAGCAGCCACAATTTCTGAGTATTTCTGTATGTACTGTGTGTATATCTCATCTTCTCCTGTGTGCGCTCTCATCCTCTCATCCTCCTACCGTGTCAAGAGCACCGCAAAAACCCAAAAACAATTCCTTATCAGCATCATCTGTGTGGCTTAGACCCTCACTTAGCTGTGGCCGCCTTATCACTCGTGCTGCCATTGTTATTACTTCTCTGCTCTGCCAAGCTGCAGTGTCTTTCTTATCAGCGCAAGTGGCTACGGGAATCACTGTCTACGCACTCATAATTGTCTCCCAACTTGTACGTACATTTGCGTGGCTCTCATTGCAGTGTGCTAATGTTGTTGGTATTGTTCTATGTTTTCCGCTGCTCTTCAAAGCTCCCTTTGTTCCTTTGTTTCTTCGTGCTCTTTGTCCGTTCGTATTCTGTTTGAGCAGCCATTAGGCACTTCCTACTCAGAGTGCGTGCCTTCCGATTTGTTGTTTGGCACTCATCATTCTTCTGAAGAATTTGATATTAGAGAGTGGGGCAGGTGCATTTTTTTTTTAGCTTAAAATCCCAATTTACTGGTTGGTCATCAGTGGAGGCGTCGCATCTATTTGTCCTTGATGAGTCAGTTTAATTTTCGGCTTTGAGCCGCTTTTCTCATACATCATATGTACGGTAATCGTGCGGTATATTAACTTTGTTCATTTCACATCGGAGCTCGTTCGTTAGACTAGAATAAAGACTTTCTCTTTCGCACGCTACCGCCATGTCGTCATTGCTGAAGTTATTATTTCTTTGCTGAATCCGTACAGAGCCCTTTCCGCTAGCTACAGGGCTACGTCGAGCGATTTCTTTTCTAGCTTAAGTTGAAGCTCACTAGATGGCATCTTTTGTAGGTTTATCAGGAAAACTTTCAGCATTTAATTCAATTTTCAGTTCAGCCAACAGTTAGGCTGCTGTTCTTTCAACTGCTCCAGTGCTTAAGGCGTGCTTGCGATTTCGTCTTTCGAACTCTTCTTCCTTAGATTGTCCATACACCACAACAATGGAGGTCCGACTCCATTGGCTTGAATATGTGAAGTAACCTCCAATCAGTACGGGATCCATACCTTGGGTATTCTGATCGCAAGGATCAATGTTTTATTCACTACCACCATATATGCATTGCCTTTTTGTCTTTTGAGTAGGTCACTTCAAAAGCTTTACTCCGCTAAAATGGCACCATCGAATGCCTGCGTAGGCTTGCCGGGTGCTTCCCGTGTGGACCCTGTCATCAGGCTTAGCAGCAGTAAGATTGCTACGATTAACGAAAGCGACGGTGCTTTGCCTTTCTGCATCGGCTTAATTTGGCGCACTTGCTGTGCATAGATTTTTTGCATCACGCCACATGAACTTCTGCAAAGCGCTCCTCCCGAACTATGTTCCACTTGTCGCTACCGTGAGTATTGTCCACTTTATGCGCTTTCGGCCGAGCTTCTACTCCAATTTTTGAGATGGCGGGCCCTACAGTTTATACTAAAGCGCCTTCGCAAGGTCATTGGATTTTTGTGAGCAGCCTTTAGTCCATATCAGAAATACATTCGAGGGGTTGAAATCCCCAGACGAGGAGCTCACATTCTCTAACGAAGGTCGACCGGAATTATAAACATTAATTTTGGATAATGGTCGAACCAAAACTCCAAGCCTTGCCTTCGATTCATTCTCAGTGGTATTGCGAAAAGGCTTTCTTTATCTCTCTGTGAGTCTACCATTTGTCTGCAGTTGCCTCGGTCTTTTTTTTCAAAGACTGGAGCAAAAATGTTCTTTTTTGTAGTGCTTGCCGAGTTTACACTAACTACGTCGGAGTCATCATTGATCACAATTCCTGTGGGGCCGCCCACTAGACTCCTATCATTCATTTTTCCTTCTTGTTGTTTGTATTTTTCTTCGAACCGCTGGTTTAGAAGAAACGACAGTTCTTGGTCGCTGTTATCCAGCAGTCCTAACTGTGTGTCGGGTAGCGCATTACTGGAGCCGGAATAGCTGTCGCGTTACCACGTTCTACGTAATGCCAAGCTCCCGCACTACGGCAAGGTGCCCGCCTTCGTCCAGGATCCCATGCGAACTTGCTCTCACTTATATTATATCCTTCTTTATGTTGTTTTCTTTTATACAATTTTCTTTGACTGTCTGCGTTGTCTCATTTCACTTAAACATTTTCCGCTTGATTACCAACAATGTTCTTAAATATACTGATTTTATTGCCCGCCTTCCACTTTCTCTTTCTCTCGTCTCCCTCCTCTCTCTTCTGCTTCGCCATATTTAAGCTTATTAGCTTGCTTTCTATGCTGTAACATTTCTACCCTGCAATAGCGGCGACCGAAACCGAGCCTATAATGGACAATACTTCCTTCGTAGTCGCGCGGTATTTGTCTTTGTACAAACGAGGCATGCCTTGTTGCGGTAACTTCGCCATTTCGATTGTAGTTGGCAGCCGAATGACGCATAAAGACTTTCCGTTATTTCTTAAAAATTTGCCGCCGCCTGCCTGATTGTCCGTTTCCCATTTTCTATTTCCGCTTCCTCTTTCCACTCTGTAGGCGTTCATGCTGCAAATCTTTTGCCAATTTGGCGGTTTCGCCGATTTTGATTTGATTTCCTCCTCGCGCTCCCCATTGATTTTCATACTCGTACGAGTATATCACGTTTCTCTTCATCCTACTTATCAGTGCCATTAACTGCTTAATACTCTGGCTGCCTATTCGCTCCAAATGCTGTTGTTGTTGCTTTTGGCGCTAGCAAGTAATTTGGGTAACAAATTGCCTATCTAGACAAAAAGGCTTGAGTGTGTCTTTTATGTCTGTCTCCTCGTCAGTGGAATTTGACGTCGAAATTCGCGTAGAAATCGCGAACTTTTTTCGTTTTATAGTAGCTCATTATCATAATGATAGCGTCTGGTTGGCGCATGTAAACAGTATACCGTTAATAAAACGATTGGTTGAGACATTCTGAGTGGGAGCCGATTGAAAATTCCGCCTGCTTTTTTATCATTTGCACTGATAAAGGCCAAATATTAGGAAAGAAAATTAAGAAATTATATTTTATCTATAAGAAAATGTGTTGAGGTTGTCAATTTCGAACCTTCTCTGAAGAAGTTTATTATTTTCACGAGAGATTTTCCAATTCTTAAAAAATTTTTATTAAAATTAAATATAGAGGTCTAGATAGATTGCTGATATATTGACGTAGATACCGCTTACGCGATTATAGCAGATTTCAAAACAGCGCTCCAAACATTCCTTCTGTTCCTTGTTTGACGTCATTTGGAATTATTAGGTACAGTCAAACCCTTCTCCACCTGATTTTTCTAACGGAGTGAAGGTCTTACTCTTCCACTGCTTCCAGCGACGGGTACTGCATCGAAAACTTTCAAATAAAGGGTGATTATTTGAAAGCTATAAGAAAGTTCTTCAAAATTAAGAGAAATGCACTGAATCTTTATTTAAATCGATGAGACGGTCCATATAATTTAATGGTTGAAGATTATTTCATGCAAATGTTGACCGCGATTCCGTTTTAGATGGTCCATACGCCTAGTCCAATTTTGGCATACTCTCTCTCCAACTTCTCACGAATAAATGCTTCAATGTTGTCCACCAATGCGTCACTAGAAGCGGGTTTGCCTGTGTAGACAGTAGACTTAACATAGTTCCACAAAAAATTGTCTAAGTTCGTTAAATCGCACGATCTAGGTGGCTAATTGTCCGGTTCCGAATGTGAAATAAAATGTTTTCCGACCTTGCCTCTGAAAAAGACCATTGTTACGCATGCTGTGTGGCATGAGGCCCCGTCTTCTTGAAACCACATGTCATGAAAGTCAAGCTCTTGCCCTTTGGGCAAAAAAAAGTTTGATATCATCTCACTGTGAAGCTCACCATTCCCAATTACGTTACGATTCGCATCATCTTTGAAGAAATACGGTCCCAATGATGCCACCAGCCCATAAACCGCACCAAACTGTGACTTTTTCTGGATGCATTGGTAGCGCTTGCAATGCTTCTGGCTGATCTTCACTCCAAATTTAGTCTCAATGGCTCAAATAGCCGTGGGCCAATTAAACTGACCATAAAATGGAAGAAGCGCGTGGTGAACGTTCTTAACAGAGCACGCATTTTTCAGGATCTCAGAAAAAGTAGTGAAAGATTGTCTTCATTTGTTAGTATGACTAACATCCTAGGTTTATGTTAAGACCTGCAATGGCTTCAAAGATGCGGTGAAGTAGATGTACCAGACCAGACAACGCATATGCTTTTGGCTACTAAATCTCTGTCAGCAGGTCACTGTTTGGATACTTGCGATACCTTACAACGATTACTGTAAAAGGTTCCAAACAGTAGTAGAAGAAGACACTGTAGAACAATATCGATGTGGGTGCAATGCATATTTTATACTTCCAACTTTCGTTCTCGTTATCTCTTAAATTGTTCAAAGAAAACTTCTCAAATTAGGTGACGTTATTAAGATTACAGGGTGGTTCAGTGAGAACGCGGTGGTATAATATTTCTAAAACACTTAAAAAATGGGTGCTCCACGAAAACATTTACCTTTTAAAATTTTTATAAAGAAAGTGGTAGGTATTCCACCTTACCACTTATCCTTTTGAAATGCTTCAATATACCGGTTAATGACGGAACTAGACTTGATTTATTTGCCTGCCAAAGCTGGCTTGCAGTAGCCCATTCTGTTGACCAAATATCTCAACTCAAGCTTTATTGTAAGGCCCTTTATGAGAGCAGTGACGATTTAAGATTTTTTCAATTATCCCTAGCGAATTTCTAGCGACAAAATCGTCGTCCACTGCTTGTTGTTCAAGCGCCCAATCGACGTATGTAAGGCGTAGTGAATGGCCAGCTAGCTTCAGTTGTTGTGTGAGCTGGACTTTATAAGGATGTAGGCGTATGTTAAAATGCAGAATAAGCCGTAATATACTGTAAGAAAGTCACAGTCTAGTCTTTGGCTACTCTTTGGCCAGCAGTAGCGATATTTGAGGTGGAAAAAGCTTTCTTCAACTTTCTTTCTTACCAATTGCTCGAGTTGTTGCACGATTATGTCCGCCATAATCCCCGCTTAAAGCAAGAAACGTGACTGATCTGGGTTTGAACGCATTGTGCGGTTATTAAGCGATTCATTTTAATAAATCATTTTAGCTAAAACAAAGTATGCCTATTTTGACAGTCAATTTTGGCAGATGTCAAATTACAGCATTGCTATTTTCGAATAGCGAATTGGAAAACCCTATATAAACAAAACTATTCTCAATTTTAGTTTTATCAACACAATTTCAAAAACCATAACAATTTTTGGTCTCTTAAAACACAACAGCAAGTCTTCTCACGATTCCCCTTCTTTCCATTTAGCTAGTTCAATATTTACCATAATATTATACAAAAACACTACTAATTTACTGTTAAACCTCTTACACTTTCCATTAATTTTACTAACGAAATGATTTTTTTTTAATTTCGTTCCTTTGAATTCCTACGCCCCTCAGCAAACACTTCTCTATCCAATTAAGTTATATTTGTTTAATTATCACTCACACAAAATCCATTTAAATTACTATTAAAGCCTCTAAATAAAATTACCCAATAAATGAGTAAATAGGCGTGAGAGGAATGTGAAAAGAATGGCAACGCATTGAAAGGAAATGGAGTGGTGAGACTGAAACTGGGACTTGGCTGTGAGTCACAGGGCTCACAGTACGCGCACATCACAACTTTGTGATTCAAATTAATGTCGTGTGGCGTATAAGCGTCGTGAAGCTGTGACGCTGTGAAGCCAGCAAAGCCCAAAATCATGTCAAATGTGAGGAAATAATCTCGGTGAACAAAATCATTAGCACTACATTGGAAAGCATGGCGTGAAAACACAACTACCAATCGACCTCTGTACAGAAAATAAATATAAATATATATATGTATATATTGTATGCATAAAATTGTGTTTGCTCATGATGAGAGGTGGCACGAGGCACTTTGATTCCCACGTGCTGATGACGGCGATACAAAAAGGTTCTTTGGTCTCCTCATATACATACATACTCGCTGTTATGTTTTCCATGTTTCTACGCTGCCACACCCATTCTGCCATAACATACATAGTTATTTTGCCAATGGCAACCGTGGCGCTCGTGTGGGAGATGAAAACATAACACAGTCCATGAAATTAATTAGCAAAAAAAAAAAAAAAAAAAAAACGACGAAAAAATGTCTGCATTAAGCGTAAGGACTGGTGCCGGATCTATTTGGCTGTGTGCTGTGCTATAACTGTTGTTACTGGCTGATGGTATCAATATGAGCTGACAAAGCGCGAAACATTGAACGCTCTCTTATCACAGGCGTACATCCGTGTACATATATATATATACATACGAGGTGATTAACAAAAGTTTGGTAAGAAAAAACATTTTTTTTTTTGGTTTTATTAGTAATTTTTGTCCTTTTTATTTTCTCTGCAAAGTCGCCACTGATTTCAATGCATTTCTTAAGCCTATAGATCCACTCGTGAAAACAGTCTTCACCTCGTGCTATCAAATATTGCTTGCATACTGAACTTAATCAGCATTAACCACATTAATTATCTCCTCGTTGCTATTCTTTTCTTTAATTTTTCTTCAATTTATGGAAATACCAAAAAATCACAAGGTGCTATATCCTCGATATATGCTTATGAACATTTTTCTTATATCCCAGAGATCGCAATAAAATTACTCATTATTTCAGCAATGTGGGATGACGCGTTGTCATGATGTAAAAAGAGCGCCGCAAATCCTCTTTTTTCCTGTTTTCCAACAAATTTTTGAAACCTTTGGTAACCACTTTTCGGTCTATCGTTTCGCAGTTACCGTCTGACCCTTTTCCAGTGGACTAGCAACTACGGTTTTAGATCGGGTAAAGTAAACTGGCATCATTACTTTTGATGCTGATTTTTGCTGCATAGATCTTACGGGTGGGTTTCCTCCTGTTGGGCTCCATACCATGGACTGCTGTTTGGTGTCTGGAGAGTTCTTATAGAACCAAGTTTATCCATCAGTTTACTAATGTTGTTAGACTGAAATTTCTCGAATTTGTTTAGAAAAGATTGAGGAAAATGCATTCGAGCCTCTTTTTGTGCCTCATTTAAAATTCGTGGTATCCATTGAACAGATTTTTCAATTCACTAGCAATCATTTCTTGTGTCAATCGTGTGTCTTCATCAATTTTAGACTTCACCAGAGCTACAGTGACGTCATCAGCGGAAGTTTTTGGTTGACTTTCTCGTGCTTGTCCTCTACGGAAAAATCTCCAGTCTGGAATCTAATGAACCACACAGAAATAGGCTTTAAAAGCGGTACATTCGTTACTTATGCAACTTGACAATCACTGAATATTTTTATTGACTGTAAATTAGGCCGAAACGCGAAGAGAATCATATGAGAAATTTCATCTGACTTATCTATTTACAGCTATCTTGCGTGTTCTCATCTCCTTTTCAGCAAATCGTTCTAAATTTGAAAGTATTTGGTGTTTTTAGATATAACAAAAACAAATTGGAACTCATCAACAGAGCGAACTTTTGTTGATCCCCTCGTATATAAGAGTATATATCTCAATATGAGCACTCCATTGGTGTTTAACCGCAATCAGTTAACACGATTAGCATTATCGCGTTATTGCCATACGCCATGGTAGACTATATGCATATAGATATGTATGAACATACGTACATCAAAAATACATATTCTTTCTGAGATGAACTTGTATTTCCTCACAATAATTTTCTTTAATTTTTGCTTCAATTGTTCCCATGCCCTCCTATTTTGGCTCGTTACATACATACGTGTATGTATGTACTGAACTAAATGAAAATAAATATTTCTTCGACATCTGTACGGTTTTTTGTTAAAAACAATAAATAAATCGACCTTCTTAAGCACAGCCATGTAACCACTTCAAACGAGTGTTTTGGTTAAGTTCAGCCAAAATCGCTTCTTCCTTATCACACGCGATGCATCACAAAAGACCAGGAAGCAAGCAAAATTAAGAAAACTTTTTTTTGGAAAAGGTGAACCTTCCAGCAAGGTGCATCTATGGGCTAACGCAGAGATCATGTACACATAGTTGTATGAAGAGCTGGAGAAATTGACCGACAAAGGAAAACACTCAACTCTAGCCCTAAAAAGCCCTCGAAAACGATCATGGCTATGGACTGCAGAAAAGTACTTCAGCCTTCAAGGTGCTTATTCGATTTAGATCCGGTAGTGAAAGTAGAAAAATACCTCTACTACATTGGCGGAATCCTGTGGAGAGCGACATGGCTTCACTTCAAATTTCCAATTGGGGCCTGTCAGCAAAAAAAAGAAGAAGCGACTTGCTTACACTAAAGAATAAGAAGATGTGTAATTAGCGTCAAATACCTTGAAAAGTGGAAAATAATACTCTCTCTTCTCTGCCGTCAATCAAAAAATTATTTGTTGTTGGAAGGCTCCCAATCATGGAGTGTAAAGTCTTCAAATCTACCTCATGGCCAATGCCTGCTCTGGCTCCAGTTCCATAGCATGCAGTGCCACTTACTCTATAAGTACATTTAGTGCCCTTTAAGCAGCAATATTTCAGCCTTTTTGAAGTATGACCTACCATTTGGGGGTCCTGACACGGAGTTCTGACCCAACTTATATTCAAAATTACTGAAAATTAATATGAAATTATATTTTCTATAAAAGTATTGAGTGTTAACCTCCCCCTCGAGTGTATTTCTGGCATGAAATGAAATATTTCCTATAAAATCCATCAGCCCTTCGAAAGCGTCATAGATTGTACTGTAGATACCTACATTCCGTGGAAAAACATCTAGACGCATACGACAGATTGGAAATTCCGTTCTTCGGTTTCACCTTTTCTTACAGTAACGACTCCAAACGACAACTCAATTTAGCCTTGAGATCAAAGAGTAACATCTAAAATTATCACTCGAGAGCGCAACTCTTTTTACTCCAAAAAATGAAAACACAAACTGACTGACAGCAAAATATTTCGAAAATTTATTAGAACAATTTTTCTTCATTTCCTTCCTGTTTTATATTTTCTTTATTAACATTCAAATTTTCCTTCCACATTTTTTCAGCCTCCATCTTCCATACCGGAGTGTCTAATCGCAATTGTTAAATGTCCGTGCGCTCCCACCAGATCCAGGCGCTGTTTGCCCGACGCCGTGAAATCGAACACGACCGCATTGAGCGCACAGCTGCCGTTAATCGTTACTATGATCATTGGGGCAAAGTGACCAGTCGCTTTGAGAACTGGACCAAGCCGGAGTACTATAAAAATGCTGAAGATCAGCTAAAACAGCGTCGTGAGCAGCGTGAAAAGGAGGTGCAACAATTTGAGCGGCGCGAACGTTTACGTGAGCTATTCGAAAAAGAGAAGATCATCTATGCCAAAGAGATGCTGGAGCGCGACAGACCACGATCGCGTAAGATCACAGCAACTACCGAGCAGCTGGAGAAAATTGAACAAAATGCCAAAGAACGTGAGCATATAAAACGGAAACTCGATTTGGAAGCCAAGTTATATGGTCGCTGGCGTCATGGCGTGGATGATGACAATGTGCTCTTCGAATCGAAGTCCACTAATGAGACACTGGCCAAACTCAATTGGTTGGATAAGCAAATTGAGGAGCAAGTAGGTCGCGAGCGTGAAGAGACACAGGCTCAAGAGCGAAATTTACGATTGCAAGAGGAAATCAGTCGTACGGAGCAAGTCCAAAAAGAACGGCAACTTATACGTGAGAAGGAGATCAGGGAAATACGCGAACTGCAAGAGAAGCACATGGCTGAGTTGAAACTGCGGCAAACAGAGGCTGAAAATTTAAAGGAAGAAGAGCAGCATTTGCGTACATGCCTAAGTGATTTGGAAAAAGAGCTGGAGTTGTTGGAGGAGAGCTGTACCATGGTTATGGACGCCGCAGACACTTCACAGGCATACAATTTGAAGAAAATCAAAATTTTCATGCGCAAACGTTCCGAAGCTTTTTGTAATCAGATTAAACTCTGCATCAGCATACTGGAACGCTTGAGCGACTATGCTACATGCGTGGAGATAGTAAAGCGGCTGCTGAAAAAATACCGCCAGCACTTAGAGGCAGAGTCAGTTAACTTTACACAAGTAGAAGCCATGTACGAATCAGAGGCGAAGTACAACATGCAGCGCCTTGAATCCTTGTGGCAGCAGCAACAGTTGGAGCGTTATCACGAAATAAAGCAGCTACTCACTGCAGAACGTTGTACTTTTGGCGCACGTGTAAGCGAGAATCTGCGACGTCAAACCGATGCCTACGAATTGCGCTCCACACATCTCACAGCACTCGAGAGTTCCAATGAAAAGCTGAAGCAATTGATAGCCGAGGAACAAAAATCGCCGCGCAGTGCGTTGCCAGTAGCTACTAGTGAGTCTGGACTGCCATTGTCCAGGCTAGATTTTAGCGGCGATGGTGGAGATCGAGCCTCTATCGCTGATGACGCCATGAGTATTACTCAACTCATGCCGAGTGGAACAACACGTTTCGGTAGCGCATCTGCTACTGGCACACATTTCGGACGCCGCAAACCACTTCAGCCCGCCGAGCTGCCCAAAGTGACCAACTCTTTTACGAATTTGAATTTGGACGTTTGGAAGGACTTGCCGGCTGCGCGTCATGGTGTTGACTCGCCGCGCTTGGCGACTCAGCGCTCACTGAGCGTTGTCACATCGGACTCTGCGACGCGTCCTCAATTTGCGCGCAAACGCATAGCTTGGACATGAAGGGACAATAGTTTTTCTAATTTAATATAATTTTTTTTTTTACTTTGAGCCTTATTGTACAGATATTTTTTTCTTAATTTTGCAGCATCGGAAGCTATAAAAAAAATAAATATATTTTTTTTGTAATAATTTAAAAAAATTTTAAATAAAACGAATAAAATTTTAAATGTTTTTCATATTCGTGCATAAATATAGTATATTGGGTAAGTTTTTGTTTGTTAGCGCTTGCGGAAAATAGCGATATTTGGTTTTCCTTTACTTGGCTTTTAATAGTTTTCCCGTTTTTCTACTCATCAACGAAAACCACTTAAAACTTTCTCTCGCCCATTCTCGCTAATGTAATTAAAAACACTCGGATTAAACGCGCTTGGGTAGTCGGGGGCATGTGCATTCACTCAGCTGCGCGCGTGAGTTTACGCACCTCGCTGAGTAGAGTTCCGCAAGGCGCGCTTAAAACCGCATTAAAACTCCGCTCCAGGGCACAGGCAAGAGTGTGAAAAAGTGCGCGACAGTAGCCGGCGGCGGTAAGTGCATGTGTCGGTTCAACATCATTCGTTAGGATTAAAAGAACGGACACGTCCATCCATCTGCAGTTGCCTGAGCACGTGTGTAGAGCTCATGATAGTGAGGGATCAAAACATAAACAACTCTCTCTACTTTTTTAAATGAAATATGTAGGTAAGTGGGAACGCAGCTTTTTTTTTTTTTGGATAAATAAAACCATTGACAACCACCACAAATGGTATTGAAGTTTAAAGCATATCAACCTGTTTTTTTATTTATTTGTACATATATATTATATATAAATATGGACATAATTTAACATGAGGAAGCCATACTCCCAGGAGTGGCTGGAAAACAAAAAAAAACAGCTCACGTCTTCCGCTAGGAGACAAAGTATCCTCTGGATGGCCAACAACTATCCCATTGTAGGCGCGCTGAAGTGAGGAGGTGTAGTTGTGCGTGGCCTTTAAGACCGATCACATGAAAAGCCGTTCTCATGAACAACTAAGATTTCCCATTACTCGAGAAGATATGCATCAGCTCCTTCGCAGAAAATGGCCTGACGACCGCATCCGTGACGATTTAAGGTGGAGTGTATTCGGCGCAAACTATAATAACAAGAGACTGGTTATTGTGTGAAAGAATAAAGCCCGTCATCAACGAACTGGGCACCTACCTGTGCGGCTTTAGACCAGCGTTATAATGACTTAACGATAATTTTAACGATTTTGCTATTCTCTAAGCACAGTATAACGATTTTCGGATCGCAAATTAGACTTAGCGATATTTTTAACGATAATCGCTATTCTCTAAAATGGTATAACGATTTTCGGATCGCAAAGAAGACTTAACGATATTTTTAACGATAATCGCTATTCTCTGAAATGGTATAACGAGTTTCGGATCGCAAAGAAGACTTAACGATATTTTTAACGATAATCGCTATTCTCTAAAATGGTATAACGATTTTCGGATCGCAAAGAAGACTTAACGATATTTTTAACGATATTCGCTATTCTCTAAGACTAGTATAACGATTTTCGGATCGCAAAGAAGACTTTGCGATAATTCTAACGATTTTAATATTCGGTGTACTTGTTATAACGATATTCGCTCTCGCTATTGTCGTAAACTACTCGAAAAATCGCCAACTAAGCGACAAATATTTTTAAGTTGTTAGCGATATCGACAAAATTTTGTTATTTCATTTAAGAGAGTAAAGTGTCCGGGAAATTGTCAAAGTTATACAAAAATAAAAATAAAAAAATAAAAGAAATGGTTTTGAATATTTGGCATACGTTTTATCACAATATGACGAGGTATCCTAATCTTCATCATTGAATAGAAGTTTGCGTCGAGAAGCGGAAGATCCTTTTCATTTGGATGCTACCGAGTTTCGCCGGATTTGGTTGAAGAAATCGTTTCTGAACTAGATTGCCAACTAAAAGGAAGAAGAATAACAGCATTGTCTACGGAGAAACAGGTAATAATATATATTTTCAATATTTTTTTTAGTCTTAACACTATTATAATGTTTAAAGGTTCTACCCGCCTCGCGATTTTTTGCAATGGGCATGTCCATGAGTCAGTCGTCAGTAAACCGTTGTGTTCATCGCGTAACAGACGCAATCAACCGTTCAAGGTTTTCTGTTAGTTTTCCGGATTTTTGCTTCGTCATCGTCACCATATGTTGGAGGCACTATTGGAGCTATCGATTGCACATGAGTTAAAAACCATGAAGAAGCGTATATAAACCACCATGGATACCACTCCATCAATGTGCAAATGGTGAGAGTAAATTTGTTTCCGATTACTATTGTAGTAACAAAGTTAATTATATTTTCACATAGATATATGGTCCTTATCGCAAGAATATACTGGCAAATGCCAAGTACCCAAGAGCGCGGCACAATTATTTTATTTGGAGCTCCCCTATAGAGCGAAGAGTCATGCATGAAAGTACAAACCATAACATGCTATTGAAAAACTTTGTAATGCATTGCTATTCTTTTAATTAAACTAATTTCAATAACAAATTTATTTGTTTTTGTCATTCCTCTTTGTACATTTTGACGTTTCGTTGAGCTGTGGTGCCACCTTTCCTACATTTTAATAAAATGGAAATGTGTGATGTCGATTATCGTAACAACTGCGTTAGAGAATCGCATAATCGTTAGCGCAAGCGACAAAATTCGTAACTTTGCGATCCGATAAATCGTGTCGATAAAAGTTACAGAATTGCACTGCAGGTGAATTCACGATTGACGAGATATTTACAATTCGCAAATGGAAAATAATCAAACCAACTTTTCAACTATTTTACAGCTGTATGTCCAAACTTCCGTGGTAGGAGGAAGAGGACGTTTAGTAGTTGGGAGATATGTTAAATAGATTTTACCCTTGAATTTTTCTTCGAGTTCGTTGGTGATCTTCATTAGAAAAATTAATGGTGGTATCGGGATGACCATGCATTCTCGTTAATATATTAAGTAGAGCTTTAGAATTACTTCCGGAGGAAAAATGGGGATGGTGTGGGGATTGACCAATCCTCTTTTGTTGGGGACGTTGCGGGATGACCTATCATTGTTTCAAAGAGAACGTATTAAGCGTGTTGATCTTTCAAAATTGGTGCCGCGAGAAAGTGTTCCAAGTGGGCTTATAAGCGATGATTAATATTAGTTTCTTTTCTATCTAATCCCGAATTATAAAATGAAACCCTTGTATTTCACACTGCTTCTCTCTTATCTTACTCACTGCTCTGCCTTGACCAAGTAAGGGTTTTATCAGTTCGGAGCCATTTGTGCCATTTAAACTTCACTGGCTAATTCTTACTCAAATTTCCCACCCAACAGAACTACTGACATTGAGATTCTTAGTGTTTTAAAACAAGGAATCGGCTTAAGACAGTGGTTGTGCTTTGTACGGATTTTTCATAGTCATCAGAAACTCTTCGCCCGCGTTACACCGTAACTGCTGTAGCGTGGATGGTCAACCCGCACGGTGTGAACGGGTGCGCTGTCTTGAAGAAACAACACTCTGCGCGCTATCTGGTCACGTGTCTTTTCTGCGACTGCCTTATGCGCCTGCCTCAACAAATTAGCATAACAGTGGCCGTCCATAGTAGTTTCTTTATAACTCTCAAATCGTGAGCATTCGCGGTACCCAACGCGCCTTAATTTTTTTTCATATTCAAATTGCCTTATTTATTAAGACAAAATTACTTCAGCTCGTTCTTTGCTAATCTGAAATCCTTCTACTATCTGCCACAATTTAGTTCTTCGATCAGCCAATACATTTTTTTTCTCCACTTTTTGTACCGCCACTGGGCGCTCCGGGTGGTAATCATTTTCATTTATTTTTTCTTCCTTATTAAAACAGCCGTGTCCATTTTTCCACCACCGTCTATGGGAGAACAGAGTCCTGAAAAACCGTTGACATCTCCTTAATAAAAATTTTCGGCATACTTTCTTTTTAATCACAGCGCGGTGCTCCAAACCATGAACATCACTAAATATAAAGTCAGAAGTGGGATAAAAATCTAAACTAGATAAAGTGGAGAAATATAGTCAGCAGACGTCATCCGAGGTAATGTATAATGTACAGGGGTCTTTTTTTTGAGAATACGCTGAAGATATCCTGCAACTAGTGTTTCTTTCTTGGAAACATGACAAAATAAAATACATACCTTCCGTCGACATTTGCCTTTCCATCACATTTTCCAATATATCTTCGGCAATATAGAGTCATAAAGCTTTCTGTGATCTATATATACTTGGCGCTTTGTATCCGCTGAAGCGATTTTCCGCCGAGCTCCTATTCCAATTTGTGGTTTTTGCGTCTTGATGTTTTTCCAACAAATGGAGGGACCTACAGTTTATACTAAGCCGCCTCCGCACGGCTGATGGGTTTTTTTACGAGGAGCCTTGATTTCATGTCCGAAATACACTTGGTGGGGTAGACATTCCCTGCCGAGTGGCGACCGTAATTAGAAAATTTAACTTAATCTTTTATTTAAATTAATTTTCTATGACGTTTAGCTGTTAGTTACGATACCAGGATGTGTCTTGCTTGCTGTATTACTTCTTAATATTTTCGGAAGAAAGATATCGGGAGATATATACGCATAATTCTTGGACAGTCTGTTTAAATTTATATGTAAATCGAAAAAAAAACGAGTTAATTTACCATGAATTCATAGTACAGAAAGTGTCAACGAATCGCTTTCTTTCAGTAACTAAATAATAATTACGCGTCCAGTAGCAACGGAAAAGACCGTTCAACAAAGAAAAAGCTTACCTGAAGTAAGTTAGCTAACATTATGTGCACCGTAAAGGTGGCAACAACAGTACAGTAGAGAATAAGGTAGAAAGTATGTCTAAGGTAAAACTTTTCTCCGCATCTCAAGTTAGTTACACTACACTGGTTAGTTTATTACAGCAGCACAGTAGTTTCGAGTAGTGGCATGGGCGTTGGGAAAGAGGAGTGAATATATTTATTAGGCAAGGCTAGGTTAAGTATACCGTCAGCTATGTTTTATCTTGCTTGAAAGGTTGAATGAGATCTGGCTCAGCCCAAGAGATTCCAAGGTACCACACTATTAACAATTTTTGTTCCGACCGTTTAGATGTGAGTCCTGCAGTTTGGCGGCACAGTCCTGCAACTT